ACGTGATCTCCCGTAGGTTACAGTAATTGCACACAGCTTTTCGGTCACGCCCACATGTTTTCGAAATTAATTTGATTATGCTAATTTTTATTTTTATTTTAATTTGTTTTGTTTTATTCATTTTGATGATTTCTTTATTCAGTTTGCTTTTAGGTACGATGGCGGCGAACTTGATTTTTTCTTAAAACGATATCAGTTGATTTGACGACGATTCTGGATTACCCGACTGGTGGGACGTCAATGGATGTGCCTAGTCAAGAAAACTTTTGGTAGGAGTCATGACAAGGTAGTCGGGGTTCTTACATTGTCATTTCAGATATTCCCCGCTATCTCAAGTAATTACCTAGTGACTACCACGAACACGGAAAGCGAGGAAGTAGAAGATTGAAGATGTTCTAATCGTACCGACAGTACATTGTCTGGAACGATATTCTGAAATAAATTCAAGAAGTTGTATGTTGAAGGTATGTATTTTCATTCTCTGTCCTTCTCCATTTATAGTAGTTCCAGGAGTACATTTTCCAAGTCTAAGGTTGTTCAGAATAATCAGGAAGCAAGGGCATGTTGACATATAGATTTTGGGCGAATCGGATAGTCCGTTAGTTTGTTATTGCTGAGTTTTATTTTGTTTAGTCCATGCATAGGTTATTCTCACGGCAACGACTGTGGATTCCTCGACAGTTGGAACGTCAATGGCTGTGTCTAGTGAGGAAGACGTTTTGTAACGTGTGGTAGGAGATTCATCCAGGTTGTCGTAGATTGTATATTGCTGCTTCAGATCTGGCTAAGTCGTCTCCAATTTATATTCTGTGTTTCTAGAAGAATCCTATCTTAGATAGAACCGAATCTCTCGCACTATTACAGGTTGTACACACGAGCCGATCCAAACGAGGTGTAAGTTTCTATATCTTGACTTTGCCTTATGCTTTTCGCTTCCAGATTTCTTCACAGATGATAAGAGCTGGGGAAAGCAGGAACTAGCAAACAGTAGTGGTCGGTTGGATGTTGGTTCCTTGTACACGGGAGGTCAGTTGCTTCTTTTCCAGACTGTAATTCGTACCTTTTGTCAGGAACTACGGTTTCGCCGGAACATAAAAACTTCAGAACACTGGTATCGCGATGATGCACGGAAGTGGTATAGACGGTCTCGGAATGCTCAAGGTAGTTCATAATTTATTCTTTTTCTTTAGACGTTCGACTCTGTATTCTTCAATTGAACTATGTGGTGGAGATAGTGGCTTTGAATCCTGAAACTCGGACGGCATTATCTCACTCGAAGATCCAGTCGGAGCCGGAACATAGTGCTTGCTTGTGAATAAATATTTTTTGTGTGTTGGGGGCGGGGGAAGGGTAAATCTGCTGCTCCGGATTGGTCAGAAAATTCGTTTTCTTTGATCGAAAAGATGGAGCTCAATTAAAGTTAAGGTTTTTTTTGACAAAATTTTCTGGTTTTGTTCTGAGGCCACCTAGTTGCAACCCATTAGCCAACTCCGAAATTTTCAAATCGTGTCGAGACCAATTTGCAAAAATTCAAATTTTTTAAAAAAAAATGCTGGATTTTTTGGCTTATTCAAAGCTTTTCCTTGTTTATTTTTACTTTTTTCAATGATATTAGCTATGAATTGGATTGCAAAATTTTTCTTTATTAAAATAAGAAAAGCTTGATGAGGTTTTGCTGTTGAAAATCCATGTTTGGGCTGCCGAAGTCTGCCAGTTCGATTCAGTTGAAATAAGTAATTTGTTTCTCGTTTCTCTCGTTGTAAGATAGTTGAAGCCATTGGAAGTTCATCGTGAGTCTCTGTTGCCTCTTCCTCGAATTTATCGTTATCATTTCAGTCGATTCAGATGTGTTCACTGCTTCCTCGTCCAATTAGGACTACTTGAAGTGAATGAGTAGCAG